CCTCGCGGACATGTGCCAGGATAATTCTCTCAAAAAGCTCATCCAGGTCCCTCAGTCCCTCCTCATAGGTCCTGTCCTGCTGCCCTCTCACGAAATGGGTGGCTCTTCTCTGAACTCTCCCCAGGCTGGTCACATCTTCTTTAAAGTGTGGCACCCAGTACTGGATGCGGTACTCCCAATTGCTGCCTGACCAATGTTGGATAGAGGGGGAGTATCACCTCTCTGGACCAGCTTGAGATGCATCTGGATGCATGACAAGGTATGGCTGGCCTTACTGACTGTGGTCTGGCATTGGCGGCTCATGTTCATCTTGGAGTCAGTAATGACTCCAAGATTCCTTTCTGCCTCTGTGCTTTCAAGAGGGGAACTCCCCAGCCTGTATGTATGCTGTGGATTCCTTCTCCCAAGGTGCAGAACCCTGCATTTATCTATGTTGAACCCCATCCTATTCTCATCTGCCTGCTTTTGTAGTCTGTCTGAATCTAGTTGCAGCCTCTCTCTCCCTTCAAGTGTGCCCAGCTCACTCCACATCTTAGTGTCATCAGCAAACTTGGACAATGTGCTTTCAACCCCCCTCATCCAAGTTGCTTATGAAGATGTTAAACAGTGCAGGCCCGAGGACTGAGCCCTGGGGGACCCCACTGCTCACATCTCGCCAGGTTGAGTACGACCCGTCCCCCACTACTCTCTGGGTGCACCCCATCAGCCAGTTTTTTACCCACCCACTCCAGGTGGCTCTTTCAAAAGTGTGATCTCTTTCTCTCTGGAGGAGTGTCCTTGTTGAGTGAAAATCCAGACATTTGTGAGGCCATGATCATGGGTGTTCTCCTCGGTGCAAATTTGGTATCAAAGGGCTTGGCTGTATATTATAGCTTTCTTGGTGTGTTTAGAACGGGTCAGCAACATTTTTGGGCAGTGCCAAGAACACCCACAACTTCAACTTGTAAGATGTTGGCATGCCAGAGGCAGATGGCGAGGGAGCCACAAAGGGCCTGATTCTTGTCGTGGCCATACAGTCCTGCCCCCTTCGACGCCATCCACCAAGAGGCACCCATGCCAAGCAAAATGTCTTTGAGTGTCACACTTTGGTCCCCGTGCCGGGGGTTGCCCACCCCTGGTTTAGAGTGATTGCTAGTTCTGTGTGGATATGTAAGTTGGTCCATGGGTTTCTTGTATATGGTGGTTTGTATCACATCCTGGATAGTGATCACAGTGTCTAAAAGGGAAATGTTGGTGCTGGAGTATTCAAGAGAGAGTCTGATGGAGGGGCGATGATTATTGAATTTCTGATAGAAATCAATCAGAAACTGCAGGTTTTCAGTCCAAATGATGAGGGTGTTGCTGGAAAGGTGGTTTTTAAGTTTTTGTAGAAAGTTGTTGCATCTTGGACAAAATTTGATATTTGGGTGACAAGAAGTTTTAGGATGGATTTGATGAAACCTGATATTTCCTCAGTTAGGGTTCCATGGGTGAATATGATAGGTCTGCCTGGGTTCCCTTGTTTGTGTATTTTAGGGAGCATGTAAAAAAGTCCCTGGATTGGGTAGTGGAGGGGTCAAGTTCTGTAGTTTTTTTCTTTTATTACTATTTGGTGGTTGGATCTTAGAGATTCTATGGCCCTTCTCTCTGAGAGGAGGAGGTGGTTGTTGTGGCGTGTGTTGTTGATTATTTTGTTGTTCATTCTTTCCTTGAAGCAGTCAATATAGTGGTCAAAGTTTGAACCTTGTCCACTGTGAAGTGTCCTGTCTGATTTTTTTGGGGGGGGGCTTTTTGGGGTTTTTTCTGTTTCTTTGGGGCTTGATCTTTTCTTTGATGTTATCACTGGATGAAATGTTGACTTCCATGCACTACTGCTGTGAATGCATTCCAGGTCCTAGACACACATTCATTTTCTAGTGCTACAAAATTCCCCAGGACAAAAATATAGTGCTTTGGTGGCAGATACATGTTCAGAGCCACCTGGCTGGAGCACTTCCGTCACCCCCAGGGTGCACACTCCAACCAACGGGTGATAGCGGACTGCTACTTTGCTCCTCTACTCCCTAGGGAACCCCGTCACTGAGACCAGTCACTGGCAGTCTGCCTTGCTGATGACTTGAAAGTCTGCCCAACTCCTCTTCTCTGGCAGGGCAGAGGGTAGGCTTTGACAGCTGCTGTTATTAGTTCCAGGAGCAGCATCTCTTTTCACCCCTTGCCACTCCCATGGGAGCAGCATCCCTAGTTCCTGCCACCACCCTGCTGGCAGTGGGGTCCCCAGCAGAGCTGCAGCTTCCCCCAGGGCAGCAGAGGCTCTGTGACAGCTTGCTGCAGTGGGCTGGGAGAGTACAGCGAGTGTTGGTGAATGCTGAGAGGACCAAGAGACCCCCTGTAGAGCTGTAAGAGTCCACATTTTACATGTGGTGCTACAAAATGAAGCACTACAGAGAAATTCCTGCCTTAAAACAGGAACATTTTTGTGGCAAATCCACCATTTTTGTAGTGCTACACACATCATGAATGCATGCCTATGTAACCATCTGTCCCAAATTGTCAGCTCCACAGACGGGCGTTTTGGAGTGTTAAAAACTGTCCTTAACCAGATGCTGTTCCAGGTGTTACTGTAAGCACAGGAAGAAATGGTCTTTATTATGATATGTGTTTTAAAATGCTTGACATTTTATTTTTTTTCTTATGGTATATACGATATTTAGCACTTTATTTCATAGTTCTCCATTTTTAAAAATCTGTCTCCTCTAAAGGTCTATGGAGTAAGTATGAAAATTCTTGGAGTAACTGGTACATTTTTGTACACATTCAACTGATCTGACATAGTGTAATTTATGGTATTAGCACTTTTATTGATAATTTTCCTTTGGAAATATAGAGGAGAGGGGGCTACCAATGATTAAAACATAAGCATTTTAGCTTGAGGCTCAGTAATTTGATGCAGCGCCTGTCATCTCAGTATAACTGATAATATTTTAATTTTTTCAGTAGTTTTCAATAAATATTTTAAAGCTAAAAGGAAAATATTATATATCCAATCAATTTCTCTTCTTCCCCAGCAGGCTTTTCAATTCTAGGAGCCAGAGCCTGCCTGACGTTGCATGACTTTCAAGCCCATGTTTCATCCCATTTATTTTACTTTGTCCCTAAGCCCTGCTGAAATCAATAGATTTGGAGTATAAAAGGAATAAGCTGAAGGGGGGTACTTAAAGAGGTACTGTGAATGCCTCAGGCAGACCTTCTCTATGCTTCATGTCTGCTGAAAAAGTCCCAAGTTTTCTGCTGCAGTGTTTATAGCCTTCAGCTGGTAGAGTAGTCAATAAATCAGGAAATGTTCCTTTTTCTTTCTTCCTCTCTTTCATCTGACACCTTTGGACTTTGTATGATCACCCACAGATTCATGTAAAGTATAACCACATCAATTTCCACACACGAGGCCTCCCTGAAACTGATTTAGAAGGCTGTTAATTTTGCTTTCTTCATATCCTCCTCCCTTTTCCAAGGAAGCTATAAACATATGTTAATGAATGAAGACTACAGTGAAGAGCAATTGGACATGCTTTAGATCTTCATATACTGTTTTTGATATGTGATTGTCCTCCTCATGTGGGACTTGCCATTTAGGATTTTAAGCTCTTTGAAGCAGGAACTGTTTTTCATATATCTTTTTTTTTTTTTTTTTTTTTTTTTTTGTATAGCACCTCATATAAGGGTGCTTACATCTTAGAGGAGACCTCTGGGCACTAATAAGCTTATAGATATTAGCTCAGTGGTTTTCAATCTTTTTAGACTGAGGGCACTCAAGGAAAATGCCAGCTCTTAGCTCTTGCTCATTTCTTGAATACAGGAAAATAATAGAACAATTCTTCTGTTGTAAAGAACTCAGAAAGACTGCCACGGGTCAGAATGGTTTTGACACTACGGGGGATTCCTGAGTGAAATCTCTGTGTTTGTCGTATGAATCATATATTAGTGTTTGCACACCTAGAAGTCCTAATATTGCACAACACCTCATTGCACACTTAAAAGGATCTCATGGTTAAGAATCATTGTATGAGATTATAATAATCAAGGTAAGTGATTATTCCCCCTCTATTCAGTACTGGTGAGGCCACATCCGGAGTACTCTATCCAGTTTTGCACTCCCCCCCCCCCCACTTCAGAAAGAATGTGGACAAATTAGGGAGAGTCCAGCAGAGAGCAGTGAAAATGGTTTGGGGGTTGGGGCACATAACTTATGCGGAGAGGCTGAGGGAACTGGGCTTATTTAGTCTACAGAAGAGGAGACTGAGAGGGGATTTAATAGCAGCCTTCAACTGCCTGAAGGGGGGGTTCAAAATAGGACGGAGCTGGACTGTTCTCAGTGCTGGCAGATAACAGAATAAGAAACAATGGTCTCAAGTTTTAGCAAGGGAAGTTTAGTTTAGATATTAGGAAAAACTTTCTCACTAGGAGGATAGTAAAACACTGGGACAGGTTACGCAGAGAGGTGGTGGAATCTCTGTCCTTGGAGGTTTTTAAGACCTGGCTAGACAAAGCTTTGGCTGGGATGATCTAGTTGGGGATGGTCCTACTTTGAACAAGGGATTGGACTAGATAACCTCCTGAGGTCCCTGCCAACCCAAATTTTCTATGGTTTTATGATAAGAATATGTTTCATCAATAGTAATCGACTATATGACTTTTCATCCATAAAGGCATTATGATTAATGCATATTAGTTCTATAATACGTGGACCTAAAATTTTAAATATGGAAGCAGGCATGCTTTTAAGTAAGATGTTTTAGTGGTGGCTGAAGAAGCAAGGTACCAGGTGAAATCCTGCTCTGACCCCCATATTATGGAATTTTACTGACTTCTGAGAAGGTTTTGTTCAAATTATTCCAGGACTTTGACCAAATGGCGATTTGGAAGACAGAGGCAAAACTGTCACTTAATTAAGAAAATTACTTGGAAAATAGGTTCTGAATAAGAGCTTAATCTTGTTAATCACTGGAATTGGCAGGTTCAAAACCAAGAGAATGCAGAAAAGAAACAAAAAGAAAAGTTGCGTCGACTGCAAGACCAGCTGAAAATCAAAAAGGATGAAGTAAAGAGCCAGTCAGAGTATTTTGAGCACTTCAAACAAAAGCAGAAGCAGCAGGCAGCAATGTTGAGAGAACGGGTATTTTACCTTCAGGGTCATGTATCTAGGCTGGGAAAGGAAGTTCTGGACCTCAATGCCACGCTGGCTCTTCTCACCACTGAACTGGAAGAGAGAACTTTTCAGTATCTCCAAAGGAAGCTGGAAACCACATTACCTGGAACTCAGGGCTCTCTGCACTTTGATATGGATGTAACCAAAATGCGAACTCTCCTTGAAGATGCTGAATGTTACATAAAAAGCCACCTTCAGACATTGCAGCAAAACCTGACAATGCTGGTGGAAAGAGAAGAAAGCAACAGCAGAGAACAAGCAGACCTACTAACCAAGCTCCAGCGCTCTCAGGACTCTGAAGACTTCCTTCTGAGGAAATTAGAGGAATCTTGCCATCATGTTTATGAGCTGAAGTTGTCTGAAGTCAAGCTTCAGGAACAAATTGAGGAGCTTATGGAGGAAAACCAGACTTTAAAGGATGAACTAGGAGTCAAGTTACAAAAAGAAGCAGGAAAGGAGTTACCGCCTGCAGGTATAGAAAATGGAGAAAATGCTGTCAGTGTGAACCTGGTAAGTGAATGGAATGTTGAATGTAATTAACTTTTATATCCTACTATATTACAATTAGAGATGGGAATAAGCTACTCCTTTTTGGGGGAGCAATAAAGTGCACCTTGTTGCTTGCTTCTCCTCAGCTGCCAAAGGCTGGTGAGGTGAATGGTTACCACTGCACGGCCAGTCTGTCTATTGATCACTGCTGCAACATTTGAGCTTAAGGGTTTACTTTACATTACTTGTTGGCTTGGGCCATTGTAAGGAAAGAATAAAATCAGAGAGAGAGAGAGTTGACTGCTAGTGGCACTACCTAGGGGCGTTGTGAAATGAATTAAAGGAACACAGACATGCAATGTCTGTGCAAAATGCAATGTGTTATGGAGACAGCCATCTAATTAAAGTTGGTAGACAGAGGAGGACTTTCTCTGAACTTGGGATAGCCTGTGTAAGAAAACTGCTTCAGGGCAAGTATCTTGGTAAAGCTGCTAGGGTCCAAGCTTCTGTTCTCTGCTGCTCTGGCCATAAAATGGAAAGTTGCCCAAGAAACAGAACCAGGAAGCCTTTCCTTTTCTCCGGCTTTTGTGTAAGCCATAGGCTGCAAAGCATGAAAGGAGGACTTGATGGGCATTTTTGTTGCCTTTTCTCTGGGGTGACAGCCCGGGGTGCCTTTTGTAATTCATGGCTGCAAACCAGTTTTCTTATCAAGAAATAAAACATACTCAATCTTCATCTAGTTTTCAAGAACCACCTTTGCAGGGCATCCTTGGGAAAAAATTAACTTGCTTGTCTGACGACTGCAGATTTAACAAATTAATCTCATTATATAGTTCCTATATTCAGCTATTAAATTTCAAAAGAAAATTATTACTCTCAGCATGCAGTAAAATGTGGGCTTATTTGAAGCAATTGAATTTGTTGACCTCATCCTAAGTCTTCATTTAATCTTTCTTCTGTATTTCAAAGGCTCTAGTGAGCCCAGTATTAATACAGGGGCCAAATCCTACTTCCTTACACCAATACTACCTTCAAAGTCTGATATTTTTCCAACGTTGAAGTCAGTGGGAGTTCTGCCTGACAAAGGCTGGCCTACCTTTGCATATTGTATGACTTTGGCATAATCAAAGCGGCTTTAAATGATAAGGCTGATAATTAAAGAAAAGAATGAAATGTACTTTTGTTGGAGATGAGATGTATGTCATACTGGCAAGGAACCAGGTGGACTTGTTGCTTTGTCTCAGTGCATGCACTTTTGGGTGCCATGAAGTCCTGGGGAGACAATGATATCCAATTACTACAGGCTGACATGACGCATGCAAACTTTAAGCTCACAGAGAGTATCCAAGGAAGAATGTACTTGTTCCAGTGCTCAGCTGTACTAGACTTACCATATTTCCAGTTTCAAAAAAGAGGACACCTGTGTGGGGGAGGAGATATGATTGGAGTGGGGCAGGGATATGCCTGTGCCCTGCCCCTGCCCTTCATTCCCAAGCCACAGCCTCCTGTCCCTGCTGCTGCCCTTCACTCCCAACCTTCAGCCCTCCTGTCTCTGCTGATACCCCTCATTGTGGACCTGCAGCCCCCTGGCCTGCCTGTGCTCCCAGCCACAGCCCCCTGCGCCCCTCACTCCCAAGCTACAGCTTGCCCACCCTGCCAGTGCCCCTCACTCCCAGCCCCAGTGCCAGCAGGCACCTGCCCCCATCACAGGTCAATCCACAGACATACATGCGCTTACTTGCCTGCAGCTAGTGGGGTGCGTGCAGAGGCACATGATTCCCTGGCCTCCAATCACCTTCTCCTGCTCTCCCCAGCCCCAAGCAGCTCCTTGCTGAGGTAAGCCAGAAAGTGCCGGGAAAGTAGAGGCAGAGCAAAATCCCAGGATATTTGAGGACACTTTTAAAAAACTGCCCAGACAGAGATGGGAGGACTCAAAAAGAGGACATGTCTGGGGAAAACCTGTACATATAGTAACCCTAGGTTGTACCTGCAGTCAGTATGATGGTAATTTAACCTATACCATTAGAATTTAATTGGCTTGTAGTCTTCAGATACTGCAGTGATAAACTCTTTTAAAAAGACCTTTTTAAAAAGGTAGCTAGAATAGTACTTTACACTAAGGAACTACTTTAAATTATTGAGCAGAAACTTTTAGGAAATTGGTGGATCACCTGTAGCCTGCACTTCTTGGAACACATCTGAAAACTCATATTGTTCTATCAAAAGTGAGTGAATAAAAATCCTTTCAGCCAGCAACTTACATTTGAATTCCTTTATCTGGTTCTGAGGAGTAGAAAAATTATGTTCCATGGACAGCCAGAATCACAGATGACAACTTCTATAGGCTGGCACAGGTAACATTGATCCTGCCAAGCTATTTTTAAATAGGTTAGTATAAGTGAAAGAAAACAAATCGGTTAGTAAGGTCTGATGGTCAATACTGCCCCAAACTCACATAAGTTTTAATGTCTAAGGTAGCTTTAATATAGTGAGTTTCCAACCTATTATCATGGGGGATCTAATCTGCTGCCCTTGAGAATCTCTTTTCTCCTTTCTCTGCCCCTAAACAGGAAGGGCACTTGCATGTGAACCAGACGCATACACACACACAAGGGTATACATATATGAACTCATATGTGCACATAATTTCTGTACATTTTGTTGAAGTATTGAAATTGGTTGTGTTGCTTTGGGGGTGGTGGAAGGAGGAATAGCAGGGGTAGATCTCAGGGTGGAGGGAAGGGGTTGCCATGGCAGTCACATCCCTGTTCCATTTTTCAGCACGGTAAACTCTCCCACCCCTCAGGTAGCAAGGGGACACCTTGATGGCTGTGCAGAGACCCAGCACAGGAAGGGGGGAGCCATCTACCACCACTGTCCCCAACCAAACCCAGCACCTGCCACAGCTGTTCCCCACAGCTGGAGCCTCTGGGCCAGCAGGAGAAACCTGGGAGAGCTGGCCCCACTGACTGGAGGTTTCTCCTGTTCCAGCTGGAGGCTGTGGGTTGTGCTAGGACAGCAGGGGACACCTTGTGGGGGTGGGCAGGGGACAGGTACAGGGAAGGGAAACCAACTTACAACTTTTCTGCTCCCTGCCAAGCCCACCACCTCAGTTCTGGGGTCAGCCAGGATCAGTGGTGTCCTGGGTCCTCCTGCTGCCCTGGGGGTCCCAAGCAGGCCTTGCCTCCATCCCACCCATGATCTGGGTGCATGCCACATCCTTCTTTACCATATCCTAGATCCTCGTATGAGGAGTTGCTTTCTATTGGTTTTCCCAGTAGCACCAGGAATGGTTCTGATGTGATCCAGGAGCTGAAGGAGACACTGGCATTAACTTCTTTGCTCAGCAGCTTCTCATGTTTCCCTGTAGAGGATGGTGGATACCTCTGAATGTTCTAACGCCAACTGAGAGCAGGTGCCTCAGAGAGCTGTGGATGGGCAATTACCTGGTTTTGCCTGAGCATAACAAAGAGCCTAGTATGAAATGACTTCGTTCTCCACAACAAATCAGTGCATCACAGGAAAGGGTGGAAAAGGGGAAGCTGAGAACCCATGACCCACTCACAACTCCCTTTTTTCTGCTGTTGACTAGCGTGAAGCAACCCGTAAGTCAAATAGGAATGGCCAGAGCTGAGAACACTCCAAGCCTTTCCCTTTCTCAGTTCAAACACATCCCAAACCTCCAGGCTTGAGTACAGTCAGTCAAAAAGCCCAAAGCTGAATTGATTCAGTCTTTGCAGGTTAGCCTAAATTTCAGAGATTAAACTGAAACAGAAGTGAACAGACATTTTACCTTGGATTCAGAAAATGCAGCCACATAGCTGCAGTGGCTCAGTCCAGAAGCCGGAGGGCACTACAGCATGGCTCTCTGGCACGGAGCCAGCCTGGGCTGTATGTTTGCTTTCTCTTCCTGCTGCCCCTGAGGTTTCTGGGATTTGCAGTCCAAAATCAGAGGATCAGGACTCTGCAGGGTTGCTTATCACTTTCTTTTCTTATTTCCAGGTGCTTCTGGGATTTATAGTCCACAGTCTCAGCCAGCAGTAAGTTTGAGTGGGGGAAGGGGTGCTTAACCCCCCGACTCCCTGGCCCCAGAATCCAGCTGGGGTTTGCCTGGTGGGGGGCTGTCTCCCCCCCGCCATCTCCCCCTGCAGACTGGGCTGCATCCCCCCATCCCCTCCTGTCAGCCAGTCCTCACTGCTCCAGCTAGGGAGCAGAAGGGTGAGGCCAACTGCTGTCTGGGGCAGAAAGCACAGCTCAGCACAGCACAGGGCTGCAAAGTGTGCTGGGATGCTGGGGACTAGGATTTAACTTGAACCAGCAAGGGGTCTGGGACAGAAGTTTCATAAACCATTTTGACCCAAATCGTTTAAATCTGATACTACATTCAACCAGGTTTATCTTAAACCAGTTTCAGCCATTTTGAAACTGGTTTATGTGCAATGAACTTCTGTTCTGTTACAGGTTTAAACCAGTTTCTGTTCACTTAAACTGGTTTATGTGCAACTTCTCTCCTGAGCCCTGGCCTCCAGGGAGGAAGCCAAAGTCTGCCTGTGATCAGTATGGCCTTCTTTCTGATTCAGCCAGAGACTTTGTGGACTTTTTCCTTTACCCCTGTATCAGTGGAAATGGAGAAGAAAACAGCAGATAAATTTGCTCTTGAACGTTGTGAGCTGCAATTAATTGACCTTTCTGGAATCATATTGTCATTCTAGTGATATAGTTAGAACCAGTTAATTGCAGAAACGTTGAGCAAAGTGTCCCAGGTGACATAGGAAGTCTGTAGCATTAGTACCACCCAGTCCTTTAATCACAACATAGTTCTTCAGCCTATGCTAATAGCTTATTTAACAACTTGGAGGGACACTAACATACAACTTCATGTTGTAGATATGTCTTAAATAATCCAGCGAGCACAGTCTGTCTAAATACAGTAATGTTACCTTCATGCAGTATATTTCTGTTTGATGAAAGGTTGTAGCCCTTAAATGGGCATTCTTAGATGGGGAAAAGGATCTTGATCACTTCTGTTAATATTGATGCTATTTGTAGGTAAAATCAACAGCAAAACTTATAATATAATATACTGATTTTTTTTTTTTTATTGATTTCTTCCTTCACGAAATACTAACTAGAATTATTCTAGCATGAAGAAATGCTTTGGGATACTCAGGCACAGAAGTATATAAGAAAAGGAGGAGGGAGCCCTCCAGTGGTGTATTAAAAAAGTGGAAAGTTTTAACTTGTTTTTCGATTAAATTATTTTTTTTTAAAATTCCCAGATTATATTTCACTGGCATTCCAGTATTGAAGCCAAAGTGCTGGCAAAATTCACTGATTAATTACTGATAATTAACTGTAGACTGACAAACAGTATGAAATATAAAAGAGGGTGTTTTAAAGTTTATAACTTTCCAGGCAGTGCATGGAAAGTAATTTATACATTGTTTAATACGTTTCATTAGTGATTTGACCATTCTTCAGTCAGAAGGGAAGGAAGTATGCACAGTCACAAATATCATAACTTTGTGAGAAATCCACCACAGTAAACCCATCAGTAAATACTATGTCATTCAAATTGTAAACACCCATGAAAGCTTGTATAGTTATCACTTCCTCATAAAATGTTACCAAATCTAGTAAGTATTTTGACTATGTTCCTGTGGTGAGGCCTACCTTGGCACAGGTATCTAGCCAGAGAAAACTCATTGAAGAATTTGAGCTCTTGCAAAATACACTCAAATATGGGTTTTGTATATTTAGAAGGGTTAGTGCACTGATGATCTGGCTTTGCTGTGCTCACAGAGTGCAGAGTAGTAATGGAGATATGCATTTTTAAATGCATAACACAATTATGTTTGTCCAGAAACTTTCTGAGCTTGGTGAATAGTTTTTGTTGTAAGTCATTTTTGGAGGCCAGTTCACAAAAGTGCCAGAGAAGGTGCTGCTGCTGTCCCTTTACACACATAACTCAATGATGTGTGAAAAGCTGTATCATTTCATCCTCTTTCTGAAAGGATTCAAATCCATATCTCCCACTACCTGGGAGAATGTCCTATTATTAGAGGGAATTTTTAGATAGGGCAGTGGGCCTCAATCACTCCTGTTAGTATTGTTGCTATTTGTATTAAAATGCCTGGTGTCACATGGAGAGACTGAGAATGGCCTGCCCTAAAATATACTATAACTTGGTGGTAAGGAGAATCAAAAGAAATAAAACCCAGTTCATACTCTTCTGATTTAGGGCAGAGATCTGAGCCTGCTTTTCAAGAAACTGCCCTGAACACCAGGGCAGTCTTCTTTTGAGACGGGTTTCTCACATCATGTGTAAACGCTTTCAACTCAGACCTCTTGGATAAGATCCTTCCTTCTCCGGTAGATTGTGACTCTAACCCTTCTTTTGTTTAGCAGATCACATAGGGCAATGTTTAGCAACCTATTTTAGTGGCAGGCCAGAATAACTCACTTTGGGTCTGAAGCAGGCCAGCACTGGGACCCAGACATGATCACTGCCACTTCTGACCCCCTCCCTTTCCTTCCATGCTCAGTGGCGTCTCCCTTCCTTTCCATTCCCCACTCCCTGTATCATGTATCTAGATATAGGAAGGGGAGACCCACCCATCAGTGCCTGAAGCTGCTTCTGCCTTGTTCCAGCTAGCGCTGCATGGAACTGTGGCCTGGGGAGTGGAGCTTAGTTGGGGACAGTAGCAGTGGGCAGGTTCCTCCTCTCCACTTGGTCCCCCCAAGTGTTGTTCCCCACCAGTCTGAGAGTAGGTACAGAGAGGGGAAAATGACATGCTGCTGCCACTGTTCCTGGCCCAGTCCTTCTCCCCCGTGAGCTACTCCCTGCAATCCTGGCTGAACCAGGGAAGGAGCAGCGAGGACGGTGGTAGTCATTGGGCATCCCCTTCCTGAACCCAGAGATGCAAGTAGAGAGGACAAGGGGGAATAATGGGAGGTACCCCTGAGTGCAGAAGGGAAGGGAGAGGGTACCGAGAATGGATTTGGGGGGAATTCTTACTTGATTTAGGGACTAAAAACAAGGCCCAAGCTGCTGCTCGCATGGCATGGTCTGCCTGCCCAGGTGGGAGAGGGGTGGAGGCACAACCACCCCTGCAGCACTGCTTGTTTCTCCCATGTCCCCCTTTTCAAAGTCCTGGATCTGCCTAGGGCTTTAACTTCTGCTAGGTTCCATGAGGTTTAACCCATTTCCTCACATTAGAAGTTTTTGCATAATTCTTTGCAGTAATCTGTAAAATATATATTGGGGATAGGCAACACCCAGCACACGTGCCAATTAGTGGCATGCAGAGACATTTTCCCTGGCACGCCAGGAGGTGTGTGAGGAAATTGTTTAAAACAAACAAACAAAAATTTAAGTTGCTGCTCCAGATCCCAGTGCCATAGCAGGCACCAGGGGCAGAGTCAGGGGAACACAGGCAGAGACACTGTTTGCATTTGGCTGACCCTGCCCCTTGTCTCCAGGCTGTGTCCGCCAGCCTGGCCCAATCCCTGGAGGGAAGCTGCAGGTGGGCTGGGCTGGACCCTGGCAGGTGCTGCACAGGGCCACAGTGCTGGAGGCTCCCAGCAAGTGGGTGAGCCTGGGGTTCAGGCAGACAGATGCCCTGTCCTTTCTGGGCAGGGACAGCACTGGGGCACCAAGTGCCGGGGTCAAGTGCTCGGGGCAGAGTCCAGGCAGTGCAGGGAGAAGCAGGTGCAGGAGGAAGTGCTGTGGGCAGCCCAGCTCAGCTAGCTCCTTGGAAAGGCAGGGGCTGGGTGGGAAGCAGGGGCTGCCCCAGGGCTCTGTGGGCTCAGGCTGCAGCTGGCTGGTGGGCAGGGGTACCTGAGGTGGGGCATGGCCTGGCTTGCTCAGATCCATAGGGATAAGGTGCAGCCACCCTACCTGTGAGGGAATGCCACCTGGCTGGGGCAAGATGCTGGGCTCAGGGGACTCCTAGCTCCAGGCTCAACCTCCTTATGCAGTGGGTGCAGCATGGGCAGGTTAGAGCTGCCTCCAGTGCAAGGACCCAGCTGCTGTGGGAGCCCCCTGGGGTCGGGGAACAGCCACCACCTGTGGTGCTTGAGGCTGAGCTGGTTGGGAGCCTGGAATGAAATGGCTCTGTGTGGCCCCAGCCCTGACCCCTGGACTGGAGCTGCAGGTCTGCAAGTCTGGGGCCTGGGCAGAACCTGGTGGGGAGGGTCTCATGGCCAGGTCCTCGCACTCGAGGTGGCTTTGCCCCATTTGCATTGTGCCTGGTGCACAGGGAGGCCAAGCCCGGAGCAGGACTTTTTTAAATAACAGGATAAAGAGAATTGCATAGATATTACAAACGGTTATAATTTAATTATGCCTTTCTTTGTCCTTTCCTTTGTTTTTCCCATTAAGAGTGGAGACCTCTTTCAGGATAAACTACTAAATCTGAAGTGGGAGACAGTCTTGGATCCATCCAGAAACAAAGCTACTCAAACTTCATCTTTACCGCAATATGACAAGGAGTCTGGTAAAATAGTAGGAACTCTGCTTTATTTCATATGTAATAGTAGTTCAAAGAAGGGTATTTTTTAAGTAGTAGGTTTACACTTTTAAGGGGTTAGATATTACAGTTAGAGACCATGCATTCCCTAAGCTGTGGTCATATTGTTGTTCACAAAAGGATTAGGTTTCAGTAGAATTTAGAGATGAGGAAAACCTTGCAGAAGGCACAGCTTATAAATAAAATATGATTAATATGTTAATGGAGCAATACATTGTAACTTGCCAAGTGTTCAAGCAATTTATTATGTAGTAGCAAGCTTCAAAAATGATAACTGAGACAGAAGAATATTACTTGTTATGTGTAGAATACCTTGCAGCTCATTTGCATTGTGCTTTAATTCAATTTTGTGGCACATTATGCATAGGGTGATAGTGTTTGGCCAGGTCCTCCAGTATCCCAGGATGGCCTGCTCTCCCTCTTCCCCACCCTCCCAACTTCCTGCAACAGGACTCCAAGTCATCCTGAAGTCTGCTGCCCCAGGGTGTCTCAGCAGGAGATGTCATGACTCACCACCTCTCCCCCTTTTCCCCAAGCACCTTCAAGGTTGCTTCTTTAAGGAGTCATTTAGCACTTTCCTAAGAGAGCTGTAGAGTGCAAACAAATACTCACCATGACCTGCTTTACTTGCACACAATAGCAATGTCTTGGAGAGAGAGGAAAAAGCACATACACAAAAGCAGCTCCTTAGGTATCCCAGGAGAGTTTGAGCCCTGCCACTCCTTTTGCATGGGTTTCTCCTCTGTGCTTGAGATGGGGGAGCAGCCTCTTCACCCAGAGGTTCTCATTGGCACCACAGTGGTGGTGGAGGGGGCAATGATAGCTTCTACCACCAGCTCCTCTTGCTGGCGAGTGCTGGCAGAGCAAGTTCCCAGGGTGCTTTTTTTTTTCTCTCTGGGTCGCTTGTCCTGTGACTGCTACTGGCAGAATTGTCTGTCAGAAGAGACATAATTAAGTTCTGCCACTTGGAGTGCTCAGCACTGACTTAACTGTTCCTGCTGGGATCCAAGAAAGTTTTACAGCTGATTTCAGCATTAGTAATTGTAGGCTAATGCTGAGCATTTCTGAAGATCCCACCAATAACTTCTTGATACCATCTGTAAAATGTGGATGACCGAACCTCCATTTGCTGAGTGCTTTGGAATCTGCACCTATATAAGAATGTATTAGTATATTTTTATTAACATGCACACCGTACACTTGCGGTAGAGAGGAATGGTTCTGCATGTGCACTGGTTAAAATAATTTTCTCTGTAATTCTGCATGGCATTAGTCTGTATATTCTCTTGCATGACAGAGAGCGCCTCAGAACATAGCGATGGTCAGCTTAATAACATAGAGAGATTGCCAGATGAATTTTTAATACTGGTTTTGGAATGTGGCTCCAGTGCCTTGTCACCGATTATGGAAGAATTCAGCCTACTTGCTGCTGGGAAGGTGAGAGGAAGTATTTTCTATTTTTGCTGTCTTCACAAGTACAGCTTGTCTGTGAATCACATGATAAATAAAGAGCAGAGTGAGTGAATTGAGAAGCTAGTTATAAAAGTATATCTTCCAGAACGGAAGAGATTAAGATAAAGACAATGATCTGCTAAGAAAAATGCCTGGTGGTTTGGTATTTTCTCCCTAGAAACAGTGTATTCCATGCATGGATAACAGGTTTTATGGTAGCAAAATAAAAAATAATCATGAAGATCTGACTCTTAGATCTCTGCTGTGGATGCTGATGATCAGGGATCCTGGTTTTCCATTTCCCAAGGAAAAATATAGATTTTCTCCAAGAAACCACAGGTTTCCCCTTGCAGAGTTCCAACCTGCAAGGAGCTGCTTGGGGCTGGGGGGAGCAGGAGGACGACAATCAGAGGCAAGGGGTGCACACATGCACACGCCTGGCAATACAGCCAGGCAGTGTGGTGGAGAGCAGCTCCCGCAGCTCCCTGTAGGTAAGTCTGTGGGAGGGAGGGCATAGGCAATGCATGGGGAGGCACAACTTGTGGGGAGATTGTGTTCAACTGATACCTAAGCAAGGAAAAGCACAGATTTCTGATTTTTTTAATCAGAGAATTTTGGGTTTTTAACAATCCAGGACCCAGGATTCCTCTTAATGATCCATTTTGCATTCAGTGTGAAAGCCTGGCCCTAGTGAAGTCAGTAACAGCTTTGCTACTGAATGCGTGGGAGTCCCCCTCTCAATGAGAGTGAAAATTCCTTTTGAGGTTCATGTGCAAAATAGGCAAGAGAGAGAAACAATGTTTATATAAGTGCAGGGTTTTGCATTGTGTTTTTGCAATGATGTCTTTATCTGTAGGAAACAAAGATATTTGAATTAACCCTTGGCAACTATAAAGCTGGTATGAAAACCAGCAGCTAATTCATATATTTGATATCAACTCCTGCTATTAAGTGCAAAAAGCAATCTCAGAACTTAGAGGCTGATCACATCTTCACATCACATCCTTATACTCACAATGTGCTCCCATGCCATCAATCCCTATATGCACAGTGCTAATGTTATATGGAACATATATCCCAGAGGGATATATGAAATACATTTTTATTTTAATTTACTGGTCTCTTGCTTTCATAAATATATGAATAATAAAACTAATCCAAACATTATTAAATTTGTTCTTGGATAAGAGTTATTTACTGTTTAGTAAATAATCATTATCATTTAAATAATAAATAGCATTATTTAAGTAAGATTAACATGGTGTTAGTAAACAGGTGTTTTCCACTCACCCTACTCAGTTTAAGGTGATCCCTTTCACTATATTTATTCCAACCAAAAGAAAAAAAAATAAAGCCCTGACTGAAGGTTGCTTGAGCAAACTTCATTTGGCTTCCTTGTGGACACATATTTTGATTGTCTTTAATTAAGTATCATTAGCTAATTTCTCACAGGATCCCTCTCTCGTTCTGTTCACAGTAGGCATTGCATGCATTTAATGAACAGTCATATAATATTTTTTCTCCTTATTTTTCAGTTTGTGGCCCTAGGCCTTATTTTCTACACATTGCTCTGAAGCTAAAATTACTAATTTCTTAATGGCTCTTTTATGGCAGTCATCATCACTGTATCTGTCTGTCAAAATGCAGTGTTTTATGTTCATGAAAATGTGTGAGATGGGGAGGTAGGCACTGATTTTTATCACTGGTGTTTTACTGATTTGAAATTAGGATACAAAAAGACTGAAGTAAAAATGTTGTGATAGGTGTAAGGGACTTACCTATCAAGAAGTCTGTGGCGATCTGAAAAAATAGAAAGTCAGGAGGTATCATTGATAATTACAACATGGGCGTAATCTGATTACATATAGAGACTTAGAGGAAATGGACCATGTTGGGTTACTATATGCCCAGTCTGGACAGCACTAGGAAATGTGAGAGAATACAGAGTATATTCAGTGCTTTTATAATCCTCACAGGTTTCACCTGCTTTGGGCTTTTGAAAAGTATCTCACTCCTGGTCCTGGAGAGCAAAGACTGAATTTTCCTGAAGCTCTTTTTCAGAGAATATATATGGACACATGTGCAGATCTAATATTTAAAAAAAGGGGGTTGCAGATGTTCTGGCACATCATCACATGTAACAAAACAAACTTTTCTCAACTTAAAAAGCAGCTAGGAGCTATATTAATATAGCTCGGCTACATTGTTCAGCTTGGGATCAAAGCAAAAATGAATGTGACTTTATTGGAATATGCATTAATTTCCTGTATTGTACAGAATTTATAAAAACACAACAAACCAGACATGTTCTTTTATTAGTCCTGCATACATTAGTATTACATGTATGTCTTCTTTTTAGATACATAAAACAAAATTCAACCTTTTTGAGCATCTTGACAGGTCATCCAGTGCCTCATTGCAGGTTACTGCCACACCTGAGTTAATGTTCACCTGAGTTAACATTTCCACACCTGATTTAAAGTTTTAAAAAGAGTTAGAGTTAGAAATAGCCTGCAGGGATGTAAAAAAAAAAAAGAGCTACATGACCAGGAGCAGCTAACAGACAGCAGAATTGCAGCAGAAAGGCTAGCTTGATTAGTGGAACATTGAGACCATTAGAAAGGAGAGAGGGCCATTAACACCTTTGGAATGAAGAGTTTAGAAGGAATCAGGTAGATTACAACATACCATGAACTCATTTGACTGCTCCAATGCTGCCTGAATAGAAATGTTGCTACCACTGCCAGGCAGTTGGTTTTAAACTTTGTGGGGCCAGGAACCAAAGAGGGGGATGCAGCTGTACCAATGTACCCACCCTGGACCTGCCCCTGTATAGACACTTCTGCTTCATCTCCAGGGGACATAATCTAGAGCTTGTTTATTCAAGGTTTGGCTTCTTTGTGGAATTTGAAAACAATTTACCATTTTCTGCTAATTGCAGTGCTAGAATCCTGGTCCCACTGAAGTCAACAGGGAAATTTGCAACTGACTGTGCATGAACCAGGATTTCACTCTCAGCAAAAACTTTTGTCACTTTAGCCACAACCAATGCTTTAAGGGGAAGTTAACTTTCATTCTTTACCAGCTGGAAGCCTTTAGCTCTCTCAAGTTAGAGGGAGAAAAGCTCCCAGGCTCATTACAATCCTCTAAGTTTAACAGCATTTCCTTGGATAGCAACATTTTTTACATTGAAAAAAAATACTGTTTGTGCTAAGTTTCAGGCTGATGAACTCAGAAGTAGGTAATGCATGAAATAGCAGTATGGTACCTTTTCTTCTAGCTTCTATATTTGAATTTCAGACTCTTTTTTTTTTTTTCCTTGCTTTTATTACCAGGTCCTTTTTGGCATACACAAATCAGAAGTTTTCAATTTGTTTGGAGGTATTTCAAGCCAGCTTCTAAACAGACAACTACTCGCAGCTTTCTCTGAGAGGCTGAACAATAATGGGATAAGTAAAGGAACCACAGATGAAGAAGACTTCTTTCTTTTAAAGCAACATGTTGTAAATCAACCAGTTAATCCTTTGCCTTCCTATAAGATTGTCACTTTAATTCAGCCTCAGCTTATCTTGCTAGAGCCAGAAAGCGGCAGAACACCTGATGTCAGATCAGAGTCTGTTTTCCAAGTGAACAAAGTGCTGAGTATGAATTACAACAGGGTAAACGATGCTTTTCTTTCTAACAGTGTTTGCCATCTCGTGAAAAGACGTGCTTCTGGCAAAGATTCTGCAGCCCCAGAGGAAACTGCTGCTGATCAGGCAATTGCCATTTTCAGACCTCAGGGTGAAAACTATGACCTGGAAAAATGTTTGCAGAATAAAATAGCTACACAAAAAAGCACAGATGAAAACAAAAAAACAGATAAAGAAGCAACTGATGAAAAGATTCAGCATAAAAAATTTACAGGGAAATCTGAGAGAGAAGAGGAAGGGGATGAAAAAGCACAAAAGAGAAAGTTAGTATGTGTTCCCGAAGAAGCCAGCATAGTTTTAATTAACATTACATATGATGAAACTGAGGAGAAAGTTGGAGATTCAGAATTTCATATACACGCCATTCAAGATGACCAAAATATAGACAACTGCCTTAAGGAAATAGAGGAGGAGTCCCAAGAAAATCCTGCACTTAAGGAAGAAGATAGAAAACATTTAGAAATCTGCATTTCAGAAAAAGTGAATGAAGAGTGTTTAGAAGAGAACATTAGGGTGACAGAGGAGAAGGGAAAACAACCAGAGAAACTAGTGGATCATATAGAAGCATATTTACAAAGAAATGCTGGACTGAAAAAAGAGAGTGAGCAATCCTTGAAACTGCGTAAACTAGAAAACAAGAGAAATGCATCGTACAAACATATGGCTGCTCAGAGGGAGGAATGCTGTAAAAATTCTCAGAAATTGTCTCTACCGAAGGAAGATAAATGGCTTTATCCACTGACTATATTGTCTCCTGGGCACGAGAGCAGTGCGTGCTTGAGTAAAGATTTAGCAGTAGAGGAAGATTATAATAAATACGTTCTTTATCCATCAGCAGCAGAAGTAAACAATGGATGTGCCTCCCAAATACATAGGTTAGAAGAAGTAGTGGATGTATATTCCCAGAGAATATCTACACTGATGCAGGAGAAAGAAGATTACGTACAGAAACTCTGCATGTTACAGAAAGAGTCTAATGATTATGCTCAAAAGATGTGTGCACTAGAAGAGGAGATAGATGCATATTCTCAATACATATTAGTAACGGCCGAAACCAACATTCACTCTTCTAAGCAGTTACCTGGCAATGTGGATTTGGGTGATAAATATAACAATATCTTGGATGAGAGTGAAACCTTTTCCAAGAATCTCTCTCATGTAGATAAAGAGGAAGATAGAAGTTCTGTTAAAGAAATGCCAGTGAGTGAATCAAGCAAACTTTTCAAGAATTTTTTAACCCTCAATGAAAAGAAAATAAGGTATTTCCAGTTGCTTTCTACTCTCAAAGAGGAGAGAAATAGGTACTTCAAAGAAATAGCTAAACTAGTGCAAGACAGAGAAAAGTATTTAGAAAAAAATCATGAGCTGGAAGAAAAATGTGAGGGAAATTTGCAAAAAATATCTCAATTAGAAGGAGACAAAAATACTTTGTTGGAAAATGTGTCTGAACTAACACGTGAGCAAGAGAAATGCATTACAATTATTTCTGAACTCAAAGCATGTAAAACTAAATCCTACCAAACCATCTCTGATTTACAGGAGGAAAAACTTGTACTGAAAAAAGATATGGACAGAATCCAGAAAGAAACTTCAGAACAGCTTCTAGAATATCAGAAAGCAAATGAGAACCTTACTTTAGAAAACAGAGAATTGAAAGAATTAATATCTGATGTGGGGATCAGCTATGAAAAGCTGAAAAAAGATAAAATTCTGGGAAGAAAAGGAAACATGCAAAATCTGAGTCAAGAAAATAAGAGTCTACAACACCAAATGCAGGCAAAAGAAATGGGAACAGTGATTAGTAAAGCACATATGGAAGAGAAAGGGATTCAGATTGGAGAACCCTCAAATGATCTCACCAGAAAACAGAAAGGTCCCTATCTGGAGAAGGTAATGGTTAGTATTAAGAATATTGTCAAGTGAGATATTTTAAGGCAGAGGTATCAAACATATGGATAGATCTGGGGCACAGAACTTCATTGGGGCCATGCATTGATGGCAGAAGACTATGTTAACCAGGGCTCTGGGAAGTTTTGGTTGCTGATTTGATTCAGAGGAGATTTGGCCTGATTCGGTGGCCAAATCTCTGAATCCAAATTGAATCGGGAGACCAATAAAAAGGTCCAAATTGATTCAAAGCCTTTGAATCAATCCAGAGGAGATTCAGGCGGTCCCTGCTTGCTCCTGCAGCAATCTGGACCCGGGCTCCATGCCAGTACTCAGGGGGTAGAGGGCTGAAGGAGGGGGGGAGGGGACAATGGGGGGACCCTCACCAGCCGCATTCCCTGCCTGCTCCCCTGAGTATCCCCTGGCCCCCACCTGCTCTCCCAGCCTGCCCCATGGCTGCCCCACTTGGCCCCAGCATCCCGGCATTTAATTTAAAAAAAAAAAAAAAAAAAAAAAAGCAGCCCTGCACTCACCAGCTGCTGCAGCAGCCCTCAGAGCCTCTAGGGCAGGTTTGTCCAACATATGGCCCACGGGTTGCCATGCAGCCCACCAAGCCATTTTCTGTGGCCCACGGTGCTGCAATGGGAACCCCTTGTCCTTCTCCCCACCCCTCAGCAGCTTCCTAATGACTGCTGAAGGGCTGAGGAAGGGACAAGGTTCCCACACGCACCACATCAGCTTGAAGTTGCAGATGCAGTGCGGCTCCTCCCCTCCCCCCTCATTTCACTGTGTCCCTTCCTTGCCCACCCCTTCCTTCCTCATTTGCATGCCAGCTCCTCCTGTCTCCCACATTGCAGGGTTTCTGTTCCTAGCCCCACCCTTCCCTTCCCTTCCTCATTTGCATGCCAGCTCTGCCCTGTGTCAGTCCCCGCCGGCCACATGGGCTGGAGCAGGTTGCGGTGCAGCAGGCAGGCGGGCGCAGGGGGTGCAGATGCTGGCACGGAGGGATGCTGCGGCTGGGCCCATGGGAGGAGGTGTTGCTGCTGTTGCTGTGGCTGTTGGGGCAAGCAGCTGGCACCGTTCCTGCCTCCCCACATCCCTCTGCGCCCACAGATGTCACACTGGGGGTGGTGAGTCATGGGCCCCGGGGAGGGAGTGACCTTTGCAGGTTGGGCTCAGGCTGCCCCGGGGGAGAGGGAGCAGGGGGGTATCCCTGCACATCCCACACCCCCCGTAGAGTTCCCACATGTCCTCCTGGTTGCTGAGCCCAGGTGCGCAGCTCTGGGAGCATCCTCGAGGCCGCCCAGCTGGCAGGGAGGACACAGAGGGGTCAGGCGGCACCCCTGCACCCCCAGGCTGCGGCTGGACTGGACAGGCTGCGCGAGCGCCTGCTCCTGCCGGCCCACTGGGTGATAAAAAGTTCATGATCTAGCCCCATATTCAAAAAGGTTGAACATCTCTGCTCTAGGGGCTCATGGCAGAGTCCCCCCACACACAGTGCGGGGCAGTGGGGATCACCCTCCCTGCCTGGCAGGAGCTGGTGAGTGCAGGGCTTTTTTTTTAAAGAGCCGAGATGCTGGGGCTAGGTGGGGCAACCTTTGATGGGGCTGGGAGAGCGGGCGGGGGATGGGTCCTGTTCAATTCAGATATTCGGACGAATTAATTCGGGTCAGTGATTTGAATCACTGAATCGAAACACTGTCCCCCGAATCAGCCGAATCCAAATCCAAAGTGAATACTAGCTGCTTTATACAGTCCTAATGTTAACCCCACAGCTTCCTGCCACTGCTTGCCCAGTGTTGCCACTGGTGCTCTACCTTCTGCTGTCTGGATCTGGGGTGTGAGGAGCCCTGTGGCCAGGATCTTGGCTGCTAGTGCAGGGAGGTTGGCATGAGTTTGACATCCTAGTTCTAAAGTACTAAGAAGTCTACATTTCATTTTGATGGTGTCTTTAAGCAGTTTTTTTATTTGATTTTTTTTAAATTGATATTGTGATTCTCTACTTTGCTTTAAAAAGCCTCTAAGAGACCTGAGGTGGCAAAATTAGCATTTTAGAAGATAAAATATCAAACAGCAGTTTTCTGAAATGTCATATTAACGTGGCTTGAGAATCTGAAACTATTTATGAAATTTGTTCTTTTCACAGAGGTCAAAGCAGCTGGTGGCACCAGCTGCACCATGTATTCATGTGTATTTAGGGTGCTCTAGCTTTGATGCAGAAAATGTTCACATTTAGGCCCCACCTACACATTACACTTCAGATGTGATTATCCAGTTAATCATGCCTTCACATTCAATTAATTAATGGCATGGTAAAACAAAGAAGAAGCCACAACGTCATTCCACAGAATAAGTGCTTGTGTTTTACACATCATTAACTGAGTGTGTGGACAGGTGCTCCGCTGTGGCTGAGAGCCCCATCAGCTGATGGAGCTTGCGGGGGTGGCGGTGTTCACCGCGCTGCTTGTCCTATGAACCCTGTCAGCTGCAGGGCTCACAGTAGTGGCAGCATGGGAACCAGTGCCTCTCTTGTGAGCCCTGCCTGCTGCAGGGCTCACAGCAACCAGAGCTGGTGGAGGGGGAGCCCAGGATCATGACTTCATGCTCCTCGTGCACTGGCAACAAGGCATGATTGGATCTGGTTTGCACAATCCTCCTGCCATGCATGTGTAGCATGGCAAGAAGTGTGACTGTGTGGATCATGCATCAGATCCTATCAAACCTTTACCTGAGTGTCTAGAAGAGCTCTTAGAAATGGTTTTATTCCACATATATTGTGTGATCTGTGTTGCTCTTCATAGTTTAGATTGCTAGGGATATTTACCTGAATTTGGGATATTATTTTTTTAAGAGATTTTCTCTGTTCCTGCTGCTTGTTTTTTTTCTTCCTGAAGTCATAAACCTCTCTGACATCACAATTAATTTCAGTGGCAATGATTATAATGCCATAAACACAGAGTTATTACTTCAGCTGAAGATAGTCAGCAGGGGGCAGATTTATCTCTAAGATCTTGTATTCAGTTACTTAATTGAAAAAAGACAAAAGTAAAAAAAACCCTAGATGATATAGATCAGAAGAACTGTTTTTAAATAGAGGGCCTGATTCACCAAAAAACTAATCTAGCATTATGATAGTTTTACCCCATTAAAATTGAAGTAATGTGATGGTGAATCAGTTCCAAAATCTCTCTCATGTAATTCTTCAAGAAATCGTTCTTTCTTTTTAAAAGGAGAATTAAAAAACATATATACCTGAACTTTCCCTGAGATTCTGCAATACTGGGATGGAATCTTCCTTGCACCAGAGCAGTGCTTAATATATTTGGAGACATGGTAGCCTATACATGTGCAGCAAAGCTGCCGCAATTATAGAGCATTGGAGCAGACTCAATTAATCAAGTCTGCTGGAGCATGATAATTACTGCGCTCCAGCATCACATGTATCAGCATCCCTGCACTGAAAAATGGCAGTGTGGGAGCTTTAACTAAAGCTCATTTGGGGATGTTGATATGCGACTCTCCAGGCGCTTTAATTAGAGTGGCTCCAGCAGCAGCCCCCTCCAATTGTGGAGCATATGTATAAACACCCAGAGGAGCTACAAGTAGAGCTGTCTCAACCCCTCTTACCATTAGTCCAGCCCAGGAGTCTTAATATGACAATGTGCCAAAAACAGGCTTCCTCTGTACTTACTAGCATCTTCTCTTGTAGACTTAACACAACTTAAAGTCTCCTTTGTGTTTTTGATCTGGCCAGCAGTACACGGAGATAAAAATATCGTACATAGTATACGCCTGCATTTTTCTACATTGTACTCATCTTTGCAAGAGGTGAAGAGAGTTAACACAGACCTTTAAGAAGTTGTGTCCTACTTTATATGCATAAAAGAACTGTTTCTTTTTTTATCCTTTATTCAGGGCAGTGCACCTGAAAGTTATAGTGTGATGCAAGAACTGGAAAGGGCCAAGGAGGAACTAAAAATACAACAAACAGAATTAGAGAAGGCAAAAAAAGAGGTAACCCCTAATGTGATGTATTTATGAGAGCAAATTCTTTTCTTGTTTCTGCCATGATTCAAGAATGTTACAAAAAAGACACATTATCTGATCTAGAGAACCAAAATATGTCTCACTGATAACCCAGTTAAATTATGACTTTGCATGGTTTGCATTACAGGTCTGCTCTCTTAACATGCATGGAACATTTTTATTTATCCTATGGACAAAGAAAAAGTAAAGAAATAAAAATAATCTGCCTACTCAGTCATGGACCATGCAGGAAGCATGACCTCCCATATCATGGTACAAGTAACTCCCATTTGAAGGCCAAACTTTGTAATGTAGATTAATCCAATTGAGACACTGTGCCAAAGGCACCCAGCTAATTCCAAATGAAGGAAACTTCTTGGCCTTTCATAATATCCTAGCTCCTGTGTTTTTCATCTTTTTCTGCTGTAAAAAAACAGGTCACCCGTTATCTAACTGGGATAGCTTTTTTAGACAAAGCTTGATTAGAGAGAATTAACTATGTTTTCTGAAATCGGGCAGAAGGCAGGGCAGAGAAGGGCATCTTAGAGCTGCACTGTTTCTGAAAGGCATAAACTTTCATAGGCAACAGCCTACTTCATTGTTCCTATGAATGGACTTGGAGAAAGCAGGGGCTCTAAATACAAGGGAATTTAAGTACAAGGGATAAGGGAGGGGAGTGCTGTTGGAAGAGGTGAAGGTGAGCTGACTATGCCAATAGGGATAAACCATGGGGCTGTGCAAAGCTTCAGTCCCTGATTTGATTCAGAGGAGATTTGGCCCGATTCAGCAGCCGAATCTCCAAATCCAAATCGAATCAGGAGACCCATTTATCTCTCTGAATCGAATTGGAAGCATCCGGAAGTACTTCTGATCCACTTCCAGGTCCACTGCTGAGCACACAGGGGTCCCCCCATGCTCCTGTGGGATGCTCTATCTGCCCCACTATCTCAGCATTCGAGAGCTGCGCTTGGTACCTAGAGGTATGTAGAAAAAACAGAAAGCCGTGTCTATGGCTGAATCGCTAATTATCTGAATCAGAATCAAATATTCAGATTCAGATTTGGCCAAATTGAACTGGGACAGCGATCCAAATCAGCAAATCAAATCACTGTCCCCTGAACTGAGCCAAATCATAATCCGAATTGAATACTGCCCACTTTGCACACACCTAATAAACAACACAGCTGGCTGTCCTGGCTTGCAGAAAGCCCTCCAACCTCAGATGGTGTCTCCAGCAACAGACAACCAAATCCAATTCTCACCAAGCCAGCAGGCCTTGCTACAGGCCCTAGTGCTGGCTGTGTCCCCACATCAAGCCAGACCACATCATGACTGGATGAAACAACACACATTATAACACCCACAGTTAATATACCTACTTCTCTACCAATGTCATACACCTGTATATGGTGCCTCTTTGCTGTTTACATTGGACAGATGGAGCAATCCTTACCTAAAATAATGAGTGGACACTGGTTTTACATTAAATCCAGACACAAAAGCCTGTGGCAAAACACTTTAACATCCCTGAACATACTATCACTGACTTCAGGTTAGCTGTTCCCAAACAAGGAAACTTTCAAAACTGATTTGACTATGAAACTGCACAGCAAAGAAATCATCCACAGACTGGACTCTATTAAGTATAGTCTCAACAGGAACTATGGATTCAAAGAGTTAACTTGCCTTGTTTATCCTTATCCTATTTAACTCACCTTCACCTTTCTTTCTTTTTTTTTTTTTTTTTTTTTAAACTC